TGTCGTTTGGATTGAATATAACCGTCGCAACACAGCACTGTAAGTAAGTAGCTATAGCCACTGCTAACCATATGAATACCAACAAACTTACACGCTTAGAACCACCACCAAATATTTAGAGAAAGCGTCAACTACGCACTCAATCATGTTACGTTGGGAATTTCCCTTCTATCAGGTTTGGTATGATTCGTACGCATTTCGTTTCTGTAACTACATTCAAAAATTAGTGGAAATCTTGCAAAATAAGGAATGAACCTGAAGTGGCAAGTGACACGGAAAATTCGATCCAAACTGCTGAGGTATATGTTGAATTTTTCGCGTTTTCTCCTGTTCCTAGTCGTATTCTCCAGTTATTTAGCCAACACCAACTGTGTTTACCTTTTATTGTCACCTCAGTTAATCTACAGTTAAAGTGTTCTTAAATTTAGTTTCTACCAGTCTGATAGTATAGATTATAATAGAGCAAAGTGCAACTTATTAGACACCTTGGAAACCTCCAGGAACGCTTTGTCAGAGAAGCTTTTAATAGATTGTCGTACCTAGCGGCGTATGACTTTTTACATTTAATTAGATTCTATCCACAGTGAACCCTTTCATCACCTCCCTGATCGATATCTGTCCTTACATAAAAGTACGCCGCTCTTCAACTTCGCCATTCCAGTCTCTCTTATTCACTCTACCCATCGCTTTTTTGCCTAACCACAGGATAACGCGTGCGTGCTTTCACTCTCTTTCCAGCTAACAATATACCTTAATTTCCGATACTTCCAACTAGTCTACTTCGTAGGTTATTTGAACCGACAAACGCTTCAATTTTTCACCTATTGGAGATAAGGTACAGGATCTCTTCGCTAATGCCCTTCCGCTAGTAGCGCTATAATCTTTTAACATGTTACTGCTCACTGTGTTAGGTGAGGATCAAAAGGACTGAAACGGATCCCAGTGCAACGACACTAAGGCATGCGCAAACATAAACCCTAAAAGTGCAGGGTAACCGTTTCGACCTTCCGGAATTCAACAACTAATTTCCACTTCTGTGCTTCAGTAGGAGTTTTATAACAGCAGCTGTATACATTTGAACAAGTCTGACTCATATGAGCCTCTTCCGATGTTATCAGCCGCAATGGACAATTTGATGGCAAATGAAATGGAAAAATTTACCCCGTTTCATTATACTATGATGCAGCAAACGGGAACGGACTATTGCCTAACAAACTACAGCTGAAAACACAGACCGATCTTGTACACAATAATTTGACGGCGGCTTAACTCAGAAAGATACCGTGTAAAGACAGGGTGTAGTTATCGCGATATCCACTTATAGAGCAGTGGAGGATGAAATGTGGCAACTCACATCTGATTAATGCGTAACACTGGCACTCAACAGTCGTATGGACTGTTTCTTCACACCTGTGCGGACGACTAGGTCACTCAGGCTTCTGTGCTCATTCAGCTGGTAGAAGAAGGAGCTCCGAAAGTGTGACACGGTGATTCCAGCCTTTCATGTCCACTGGTTGGTCGGTTCGGCCTGGTTGTGATAATTTGCATTAAAATTTGCATTTGTTTTCTTAACGCAACTACTCGCGTAACTCTAAGCAAACTGGTCTTATCAGTAATTGATGTAAATGGGGCTATTTCATATCTCTGCCAAATGCACGCACAGTCATGTCGCAGGCGGTGTCACCGTGTCTCCTAGCTGATATCGTCAAGTTCTTTGTCACCGCATTTTGATCGCTAATCCTCTAGTTACGTTTTGATGAGGCCTTGTGTTAGCATATATGTTAGTTTGAGCTCACACTAGACGTCAATGGCGCTGTTCGCATCGGAAACCGTAAATTGACCTAACTGCTCAGTTCGTACATATATGTGTTTGAATTTTTGGTTACTTGTTAGTAGGCATAATCTACACAGAAATATTTGCCTTCCGATTTCTGTGGAATGAGTCAGACGATAAGGCGGGGAAGTTATACAAACAGCCATCGCGCCTTGACTGTAACGAGACTCTGTGCACGTCGGACAGTGACCCCGGCTAAGGGTGACCCTTGTCACCCATCGACCATCGCATGCGTGTTTGTTCAGGTGGGCAATCGCTTAATGTTTACTGGATCAACTAAAATATAGATAGATCTTCTCGGCGCATCCAATGACACCCGAGCTCTATCCACCTTATTATGGTGCCTCAGCCTTCTAGTTATATTTGCCTGGTGTGAAGTAACGAAACGAATTACCTTCACAATTATTGCACTTCCAAAGTGGATTGTGCTTCCTTTTCTATAAAGTCCATCAAAACCATCAGACGGTCATTATCACGGAACGATTTACGATAGAATCTTTAACTGCTTTCCCGCTTTTCACAAAAATACGACTTGTCGTTGCAATACAAGAACCCTACTGGCTACGTCAGTTCCTGTTTTGCTATATGTCACACTGGTAAAACTACTTTATTACAAGTACATGGACCTACGTCGTCTCTACAGAAGCAGTTCAGAAGAAACCAAAAATAGGCCTATAATTGCAGAATGACTACACGGATCCATTATCTCTCTTCTGCACAAATAGAATTTAGGAGAAATAGATTGAACATTTGGTACATCAAGACTGCTATAAGTAATCGTAATTGCTGGGTTATGTGGAAAGTTTAGTCACTTCTTTAAGAGGCTTGTCACAGCGCATGTTGACAAACCGAACGTTAAAATCATTTCAAAACCATATGTCACAACCTCCCTGGTTTCTTTTACCCGTTCAGAGCTTGCAGACATCCTTTTTGTGTTCGCAAAAACAGAATGGTAAACAAAGCCAAATGAGCGAATTTATGAGACACCCTGACCTTGCATCTATGCACTATAATGGTATATAAGGCACAAAAACACAGTGAGGCGAGTAGCCAGATGCGAGGACAGATGTGCCCTGTTCCTTTACTAGAAGCTAGGCGGACCTATGACCAGTAGGCGAACCAGTGACAACAGTAGGTCAGGGGGTAGCCGAACGCACGACGGAAGTGAGTCAACATTGTTCCCTTATCTGCTGGGGAGCATCCCGATTAAGCGAAACAGTCGGATAATGCTTTCCTTGTATATCGTTTGACTTTGCCAATCAAAACACAACATTCGCTAGGGTGTATCCGGTGATGTATCCGGTTTAATCCTCCTGAACTCGCTGCTGAAACTATTGGCTCACAGCTACTCGCTTTGGAAAACGGTAGTATTCAACCGTCTCCACTTTGCTTTACCTCCATTCGGCGACCTATAAGATCCAGGGATGTACACATATTTCACATTGGTTGGAGGTCCAGTCGTCTTGCCTCCCGAGCAACCAGATACCAGTGAAGTTCCATGGAATATAGGTCTTTCCGATTCACCTATATTTTTAGCCTAGTCAGCTGTACGTATTTCTTACTCCGTTTGACTAGTGCTTTCTTCAAATGTAAACCCATCGTTCAAACAAGCTCCAGCCATTCTTCCAAGCAACAACATTGAAGGGGTTTCAAAACCGCGGTATGCAGTGTGATTCTGTATTCGACTTAACAAATGCCTTGTTCCCAGCTTTTCCGAAAGGTTAAATGGTTTGCGTGAATTCTTTTGAAAAGCTCTGACTTAACCGTTATATGTCTTTATGATACATATTACTTTAACTATCTCTCCTACTTTGCAAGTGTTTTGACATTTTATGCCTAATCCCTCCAGTTTCAAGTATCTCGGTGCCTTTTCATCCCGACCTTACCCTGGTTCACCTATATTGGTGACAAATATTCGGAACTAAGGAATCATTTTGCTGTACCCTCTGATCCGAAATGGTCTTGGTGCTCCACTAGTTAGTCCTCCAGTTAGTGACCGTATGCGTTCCTTCTCGCAGCTTATAATGCTCTCCCGTTATCTTCCTAATTTCTAAAGGAACGTTACAATGATCGCACAACCCATAAAGATTATTTCAAGATGCAGATGATTTTCTTGTGACTATCTAGTCAACTTCCTTGTCAGTAGACTATCTGGGGCATGCCTCTGTTCCCTTTAAAGGTGCTAAACACCAATTCCCACTCCCCACCCAATGAGTTACCAGAAGCCGCAACAATTTTTTCCTTTTACGATACTCAGCTGTTTGTGACGGTCTGTTGTTGACAATGTGTAGGAACGTTGACTAAGGGCATAATGGTTTTCTGGGAGGTCCTCCTTCTCTCCCTCTTCGTTCTGTAGGTCGTTATGGTTGTATTGCAGCAAAGCATCAGTACACATGGCTCATGTACTGCTATTGATGATAATGGTGATGACTTTCTCTAGATTTCTAGTTATATTTTCCTGCACTAAATCAGATTTTCTATTGCCGCATCTGTCCCGCGCATTTGTTAATCCAAAGGTCATTACTATGATGTTGGAAGTCGGTTGTAATGACGTCCGTACACTTGACATAACTGTCACAATTCAAATTCATGTGGTCCGGCGTTTGAGATACCGATTCTGCAGCAACGTGCATATTCAAGCACCAAGCGTACCTTTATCGATCGTCCTATGCTCAAATGATATAGTAGGATGAAATTGCTTGTGTCCAGAGTAGGGGTTACTTTTTCTTTGTTCCCTATCAGAAACCAGTGGTGATTAACTGCGCACTCTACTGTTTAGCATGGTGCCAATAAATAATGAAAGCAACATCAGTTTCACTTCTGTCATGTAAATAACCGCACAGTGATATCCGGATGTTAACTTATCCGATATGATATATATTCGGTTGGTACTACAAATGAGCGTGAAGCCGTTTGCATGCAATGCACCCTTTGCGGGGATCACATCCGTCAAACTCGAGCTGGCTGAGTCCAGTGGACCAGTGAGTTCATTCTCGCTCGCATAATAAACTAACCGCTACCTAAGGTTGACTTCGCTATAAATCATCAGCGGGATAACAGCTGGACTGACGCTACACTTAATCTTTTCTCTTCGTTGAATTTCTCACTGTATACAACACGCCTAACATATTGGTACCAAGATCCGGTATATTTCCCTCCCGAACAGGCAAAGGAATTACATCCAGATCAATTGACCACGCGACTCGTTCTTCGACTGGCGCGATTTGCTCGTTTGCTCATACTGGATGGGTTGGAACGCGAAAAGCACCATACAGATACAGAAGACTCACCACAACACAATACAGTTAATAACACGGCCACCACTCGTCTAAAACCATACTTCACTGAGCACAAAAGCTTGGCTGATGCCTTATTTGAAAGCATTCCACTTGTATCTGCGGCTGCTCAACTTCGTGAGAGAATGAGCCTTTCAATTACCACCGCATCAGCAAGAGTCCAACGAAGTAATGGGTCCATGAGGGTTGAAAGTGAGAAACTGTACAAGACCAGCAATCATAGAAATAAGGCGTCATTGTTACCGGAGCTACGAAATGAGACGTCTGATACCGTTGGCACGTTATCTCCAAACAAAGGTATCCACAACGAAGTTTTCACTAACCTCAGCTGCGCTTTGAAACGGTGAGTTAGCGGTCACAGTCTGGTAGAAGTCATTTTCAAGTCAACCGGTTTTTTGGTCAATTTTCCACAAAATTAATACTTGTAACTCTAGCGGATAACAAACCGGTGAGAAATTTCGAGTTTCTTCTATACCACCATGTAGCTTTACATAATGTGCACACAGTTTATAATTACACCAACTGGACAGAAACATAACCATCTATAAAACTTTGGAACAAAGCACTTAAGGTTGTACATACTTCAATTTAACTAGCCGCCCTAAATGATCTCCGACAACAGCTACTGTGTTCAACTACCGGTGTCACACATATGCAGTGGTGCAGGTGTCCAACAGGATTCAAAGCAAATTCCAGAAGCAAGGGTTCGCAGGCAGTGACACTGAAATGCGGTCACTTTGTTGCGTAGCTAAGTACCTATCCATATGCTTGTTTCCATCTCGCGTTTAATAAAAACATACCAACAAAACTTGACGCGGGAAGACATTTGACGTCATCTTTAAAGGTTTTAATGGACGATAGCAGGGTTGCCTAACTTTAAAATTAAGGGAAGCAGTGCCGGCTACTTTGTTTCGCTACTTGGTAAATTTTCAACATCAGCAATCTTGGTCGCTTGCATCTCCCAGGATAATTGCCTCTTGGCATTTTAGGTCCTATTCAGTGAGCGGTTTCTAATAGTCGGAACAATCTACGCAACGGTTCGCATCCTGTTTCTAAAGTGTTTCTTCACCCAGGTTCCGAGTCACTATGACGTAGTCGAGCGGCTACGCCACCCACGCACGCGTGGCCTGTGTGCTCCTGGTTCATTTGGCTTATTCCCCTCTGTCCTCTCTCCATCTTTTCGCAGTGTTTTCACTGTACGCTCATTCGAACCGGATTTACCAGCTCTACACAGTGATTCATCATACGTGGAAATACCTTCTATGATTAGAGTCCGTGACATCACTAACCGTTTTCACTGGCGGCCGTGCTTAGGCCCAATCGGATAACTCAATCACATTGAGCCGATTACATTTCTGTGTGACACCATTCGATCCAGAATCCTCGAGGCAGTCCGAAAAGCCTAAGGTTATTCCGATCCGGCATTTCTCAACACAAATGTGGAAGAATTTGGGACCCATCAATCTGTGCTCAGATTCAGTTGGCAGATTCCAGTCACTCGCCATTCATTGTGACCTTGTCAGCCACTGCGCCTGCATAACCCATCACACGGACCGCGCGACTACGCCGACCACTCATTTGACCTTGCAACCACCACGCTCGCCTGACCGATGTGCGCCACTCTCAAGGCTGGAAAAGTACAGAACGCCAACCAACCCACGGGGTCAGGTAACGACACCACGTTGAATGGCAGACGTGCGAATCAGAAGTCTCCAAGCGAAAGGCATTTGCGGGTTGGGAGAATGTCACTGAGTAGTTACAATTGGTCTGGCTTGCTCGCACTGTTCGGAACGGTACCATCCCAAATATGCAAATGTTCCCAACAACAGTTACGAGAGAAAAATAGCTCCCAAGTTGCAATTTAGTTCTGTACTGCGTGCTCCACCATCCCACTCGTTAAGTGCTTGCTTATTCAAGTTAAGAAGTGCGACCGGTTAACCGCAGAGGATAAACGATAAGATTACTTTAATGGAAGCCAGTGTACACCACGGAAGCGTAGCGGCTTCTAAGTAACGGAATGCTGCACAATCCGCTTACCCCGAACCACAATCAGTCACGTCCCCATCTCCGTTGTCTTCTCCAACTTTGGTAGAACGCCGGGCGTAAACTGACCGTAGCTACGAGAGTCAAAGAGTACTCACGGCAACGAAAATCATGCACCACTCGAAACGTCTGGTTAAGCAAATCCCACTAGACCTGACATCTAGCATTAAGAAAGATGAAGCAGGCGAACACCAACCCTCTGTATCTGTAGCTCAAATGTCTCTTGTCGAGACAAAGCCTCCCGGAACATCAGTTACATATGCAGAGATTGCTGCAAAGGTCCACCGGGAGGCCGCCGTTGCAGCCTCTTCTGTTGTAAACATCGTTAACACGAGTAGAGGGATAAACAGTAAACAATCAACATTTGTCAGCAAATCAGGACCAAGGAGTACCATACCTTGTAGATAAACAAAAAAGGATCCAACAATAGTGTCCGGACTGTTGTATGGTCATAAGTCCCTAAATCTACCGCCATCATATTGCGGGATAAGTTATTGGACTACCAAGACCAATGGAACTCATTGTGTGTGTGCAAATGAGTGTCAAAGCCAAGCCCACAAACTTATTAGGAATTACTCGACATCCAAACTCGCCACACTATGGAGAACCCAGACTTTTTAGAGTAACACTATGATCCTCCACCGACGTATAGTACGTTTTGCTCACCGAAAATGCGCTAAAACACGGATCCTGTGAGAGACGCGTCTATCCTGATGTCCCTTGGAGCGCGCGACAATCAAAAAGCAACACCGAAGAGGGGCACAGCAAGCAAGACCGCCTAAACACAATTTTAATACATGGCGTGCCAGAACATCCTTATAAAGATGTTCAAGAGACCGGAAAGCACGATTTAGGACATTGGCGGTTCATTCGTGCAACACTTCTTTGGATAATGTTGCAGCGCTATCGTTCACTAGGATACCTATCTCATCAAATTATGGAGGATGCGGCCCTAGAATCCTAAAACTTGTGGTTCAGTCAGGGGAGCAAGCAAAGGGTGTTTTGGATCGATGGCGGAGAAATCGGCAATGTCTTCCTTCTGAACTTCGGTTAAAGGTCGCAGAAGTTTTGCGCAGCTCAAATATTAAAGCACCCGAAGCATCAAGCGTACCGATGAATGTACAGAAGCATAACTTGACCGCGGCTTTAATCGACTCTGACATTGGTCTAAACAAAGACTGGGACGCACATTGGCCGAACCAATTTACAAACAAGGTATCATTATCCCGTCAAAAAGCGAGTAACTGCCGACCTAGCATTGGTCGGCATTCTCCCATACTTGACCCCTTCACCCCTCTGTGGGCTCCTAGAGACCGAGAAACTGGTCTGCTTGTATACGAATGCTCAGGGTCTTTTAAATAAACTGGCCGAACTGAAATATCGCCAAGATTCCTAGTCGAATGGTGTCATTGGTGTCACCGAGACGTAGTAGCACACAGAAATGGCGGACGCTGAATTTTCACTACCGGGCATGTCGCTGATCCAGAACGACAGGCTCACAAAAGGAAGAGGGGTAATCCTGTATTACCGAAGAGACTTCCAGTGCGAAGTCGTGTAGGATTCAGACTCGCAGTTCCCCGACTCTCTTTGGTGCCGCTTGCAGTTAAAAGACAGGGACGCTTGCCTTATTATCTTGATGTACCGCTCCCTTAACTCTACACTCAAAAAAGACTACCACCTAGCGGCTGCTTTAGGATGCAGGTTACAGCAAAAGTACACTCACTTACTTATCATGGTTGATTTCAACGTACATTGTGTAGAAAGGCATGCCACGATTGGAGAACAATTCACAGCCGATCTACAACGTTTCGTAACCACTCTTCCTGTTTATAGTCATATCACTTTGCCCACTCGGTTCAGAACTGGTAACAGGCCATTTGTCTTTGATTTTATACTTACCAAGGAGAAACCGGCGATTGATATTTTGGTTGTAGGTTGCCCCTTGGGTCGCAGTGATCAGGCAGTCACCAGTTTCAACTTTGTCTGCCATGCTGAATATCGGAATGAGAACGATGAGTCTGTGCGGATCATCACAAGCTACGATCGATTAGTCCAGTTCGTTAGCGCCACAACTTGGTCATTCCTTGCCGAAGAACCCCGGGAAGTCGCCTGGCTCGAGTTTGTCAGCAAATTCAGTTAGTTGATTGCAGAAGCTACAGAGAGAAAAGTTTGTAATAGGTATACACTTGTTTCTTTCATTAGGAGCAGAACTCGGAAATGATGACAGTACGCAACGCAGCATGAATACTGAATACTGAATACTGTATTATAGAGCAAGTAGAAATGGATTCTGTACAACTCTTTCGAGATATGGCGAAAAACGTTATAAAAGTTGTCAACCTTGAATATCATTTTCGTTCTCATGTAATATTTAAAATATGCGACTTACGATATTTCAGGATTCACAAATGTGATGTCATCGTAAGTGTGCAGTCGTCCTCTGAATCGAATAGAGGCAAAATGCAAATCTAACAACGTTTTGAACTGTTGCACAGATGTTGCCTCAATCACATGTTCGGGCAAACTATTCCAAATGTTTACCACTCTCCGTTCGAAGCACAGTGGGTGGGGAACACGTTTCATATCCGGCACAACAAGTTTGTATCTGTGTCCGCGTGTGCTGCATGGCCCTCGTAAGTGCATCATTGGCCTTAACATGGGGAACTCACCGAGATGTAGAATTCGGTAGGTCATAATGAGGTCGACTCGTACCCGACGGTGGGACAAGGTGTAGAGTCCTAGTTTCTCGCACCGGTCTTCATACCCAAAGCCACGTAAACTCGGGATGAGCCTGGTAGCAACGTGTTGGACCCGTTCGATCTTTTGTGCCTCGCCACGGGTAATCGGAAAGTAGGCGGGCGAACTGTACTCTAGCATTGGTCTAATGATAGAAGTGAACAGGCGAGTGGAAACCTCTTCAGACCATGTGCAGAAGCTACGTTTGAGCGCCCAAAGCATGCGCAGTCCGCTCCGATATAGCCTGTTCGTGTTGTCCACGGACTTCAAATCGTAGCGTCAGAGTACACCTAGGTCCTTCACCGAGGGTGTGGGATATAACGTTTGGCCGTCAAGGGTGTAGGTTCGGCCGTCTGCACCCTTCCTCAGGCTCATAAATACCGACTTGGCTGGGTTGACCGGGAGAACAACTTCTGCAGACCATGTGGATAAGCGGTTGAGATCTTGCTGACGTAGGCCACAGTCATCGGGAGCGTCGATTTCTCTCCAAATCTTCAGGTCGTCCGCAAACAAGGCACACGGCGACCGGAGAAGTTGCGGTAGATAGTTGATGTGGATCAGGAACAGAGTGGGCCCCAGAAAAGTGCCTTGAGGCACGCCACTTGTAGAGGAGTACCAGTCAGTTAGATGGTCGTCGACCTGTACCCTCCACTTTCGTCCAACAAGAAAGTCGCGGATCCACCGGTGCAGTGAGCCACCGACGCCACGCATGCTGAGTTTGTGAAGGAGAACCTCATGACTGACCTTGTCGAACGCTTTACTGAAATCGATGAATATCACGTCGACAGACTTCCCCTTGTTTATTGCCTTCAACCACTCATGCCTCGTCACAAGCAGGTTAGTAATGCATGAGCGACCTTGCATAAAACCGTGCTGTGCGGGCGTCAGGACCTCGTTTGACTGTAGCAACTGCAGCAATCTCTTCTTCACGATTTTCTCAGCAACCTTTGCCAATATAGGTGTCCGACAAATTGGCCTGTAATTGTCTACTTTGCTAGGGTCGCCGCCTTTCGGAATAGGCTTCACCACCGCACATTTCCAGTCAACCGGCAACAAACCTTCGGAGAGCGACCTGTTGAAAAGGTCAGTCACGATGGGAGAGAGGATGGTTGAAAGTGACTTGAGAACCAGTGGGTGAAGCCCATCAGGTCCGGCAGATTTGGTGCCGTCAAGGTTGGCGAGTAGTTGAGCTACCTCTTCGACGCCACAATGCAGACTATCGAGTTCGGTAAAAGCGGTACACGTCGAACTCGGAACAGACACCTGGTTATTCGCAAATACAGAAGCGAAGTGCGCCGCCAACGCGGACGCACGCTCAGAGCTGGAGGTTAGGGGCTGTCCATCCGTGCCATCCAGCACTGGCACATCACCCGCCGGCTTCGGGCGTCGCTTCACGTATGCAAAGATTCTCTTGGGGGCGGTCTTCGCGGCTAATGCGAGCTGTTCTTCAAAGTGTCGGCGTTTATTCGTTTTTGCACTGTTGCAGAGATTCCGCTGACATTTATACTCTTCGTAATCATTGGCAGAGCCAGAGAGAAGGAATTTGTCCCACAGTCTGCGCCGCCTCCGAGCCAGGTTTCTATACTCCTTGTCAAACCAATGAGGCTTAATCGGTCCAACCTTTCGACATTTCAATGGCACAAATTGGGAACACAATAATGTCAATCTCTCTCTTATAAATATCCAACAATCTTCCACAGATGCAGTTTGTGACAGAGACCAATCCAGTTGGCTCGCGGCTCGAGCAAGACCATCGAAGTCCGTTTTCCAGTAGTTGGGAGCTGGTTGCAGCGGATGTGAATATGGCAAAGATAATTCCATATCAGCTATCAGTACTGAGTGGTCGCTCGTAGCCAGGGGCTCCAGGATCCTAACGTCACGCACTCGTTGTTCGTAGCTCGTTAACATCAGGTCGAGACAAGACGGGGTTGAACGTGTTGATATGCGTGTTGGCTGGCATATGTGTTGCGATGCACCAGTTTCAAGTATCAAATCCACGAACTTTGCTTCAACCTCACTATGTCCAGGCATCAAATGCACATCAGGCCATCGTATTCGAGGACAGTTAATATCGCCCATAAGCAGAAAGTGTGGACGACTCATGTGGGTCCGAAGATGGGGCAGCCAATCCAAACAACGACTCAGGGGACTGCGATAAACTGCGCCCACAAGCAGTTCTCCGCGCCTGAGGCGGATGGAGCACCACAGTAGCTCACACAGGCCATCGTCACTATGGTAGGTGCTCACAAGTCTCCCACGCAGGGAAGACCGGATGTAAAGTAAGACACCACCGTGGGCATTCTTTAGTCTATCGCATCCGAAACACGAGTAACCGTTGAGTTCAAGTTCTTGGGTGTATAACTCTGTATGCAGCCATGTCTCTGCGAGTCCCACTACGTCTGGCCGCTCAGACGCAACGAAACAACAAAGCTCATCGCGCTTATTCATAATACTGCAAACGTTTGTGAAGGCTACTCGCAGGCCGCAGCAGGAGCCACCGGGCGTGCTTGAAGTGTGAGCAGCCTGTTTATCCTGATTCGCGGATTGTTGGAAACCACCCGAAAATTTACGATACGAATATTTGTTTCCCCCTCACCAGTGCGTCTTTTCAGCTCAATGATGGCAGACTTGAGCCGCTCCCTGTCTACTGGGTCCAGGTCGGAACGAACATGGATCTTCAAACCTTTCAGCCTACTTAGGCGAGACATGATAAGTCTTGGACTGGCTTCGTCCACAAAAGTGATTCTCATGGGCCGATTATGTTGATCACCTTGCTTTCCAAGACGGGTAATCTGCCTCACTTTTACCGAGTCCTCACCAGCGTCGAAGAGTCTATCAATTAGACCCTGTAAAAACTCGACATCGTGATCGTAGCGCACTTGGGGTGATGGATCACTGGACTCCGGTGCGTGAAAGATCACGAGATTATAACGCCTCTGGTCGGACGAGGTTGGCCTTGCAGGGCGAAGTATACTACCAGCCTCACGTGGTTTGGCTAACTGTTGACTTACAGAACGTAAACGCCCAACGTTCCTTCGTAATTTCGTTCTCTGATCTTTCCACTGGTCTTCAGCACTCAGAGTTTCACCTGCTGGGACATCAGTGTCCGGTGGACACAACAAAGGTAAACAATTTAGCCCAGGTGCAACTGGGCTTCTCACAACGGTTGGACTTCGTGTCAGTGAGTTTGCAAGGGTAGAGGAGGACGACTGAGCCGAAACCTGAAGGCTCATGGCTCAGCAAGGCTCATGGCGAGTGTACAGAGAAGCTCCAGCACCAGCAACTTGGAACAACAACCTAACCCAACGTAACCACTGCACTCAACTGCTAAGGGATGACAAAGCCGCCTATCAACACAACATCGCAAAAACCTTCAGTGCTAACCACAAGCTGCTCTGCAAGCACGTCAATAGCCTACGGAAGGTGTGGCAAGAATTTCCTCCACTCAGGATGGCTGATTGCCCAACAAGAACGGCTGTGAAAGCAGTAAACGCGCTGCGGATGCAAATGCCCCCACGTTTCAAAGGGTCTTATCACCAAGAGATCTTCCAAACTTTGTATTCTCCTGACCAGGTTTAACCCATATCACTTTTACCGCGAAAGTTGTATTGCAAAAGCTGACGTCTTTACGCAAACACAGCTCGTCGGGTGTCGACACCACTCGTCCAGAGGGACTGAAAACAGCAGCAAATCAACTGGCAGGACCTTCAGCTCAGTTTTTGTAGCGCTCCTTAGACCAGAATCAAGTTTCCGCTATGTGGGAGCTTGTAATAATAAGTCCGATTCATAAAAGTGGAAGCAGAACTGATCTCTCCAACTACCGCCTAGTGTCCCTTCCTTCTATATTCTCCAAGCTCATGGAATCCATAGTTGCCGGTGCACTGGTGTGCTATTTGGGTAACTGTAATATCATCACGCCTGAGCAGCACGGTTTCCGTCGACGGTGGTCATGTACAACGAATTTTCTAATTGTACGCAGTAGTTGGACGGAGTCAGTTGACCAGGAGTAGGAATTGATGTGATCTACCTAGATTTTTTCAGGGCTTTCGATCGTCCAGACCATCGAATACTACTCTCCAAGCTTCAGCTCTACAGGATCGGTGGCCCTTTTTTAATCTGGATTGCGAACTTTCTACTTCAACGGCAATTAGTGATCAGAGTTCTGTGCTCTTTATCGGACCCCATAAAAGTCGAATCGGAACGTATGTACTGCAGCAATCAACTTTCGAACGTGACTTGGGTGTCCTGGTTCAAGATGTATGGGTTGCTCCAGGCAATCCGAAAAGGCCTCGAAGGCTGGGAGGTAACACATCATGCTGTTGCGAAGAGTGTTTGAACAAATAAACAGCTCCATACTTCGACAAATGCACAGTGCATAAGTTTGCACCCATGGCGATTAGGCAATTCAATACTAGCATCCATGGTTGAAGCATGACCTTAATGCACTGGAGCAACCACAGCGTCGGGCATCTAAGAACGTAATTGGAATGCGCAATCGTTCATAACAGGAGAGGCTGCAACAGTTGGGGGTATTCAGTGGAAGCTACCACAGACTACCAGGCGACCTGATTATGGCATACTTGATTCTGCGAGACCCACATCATGTGTACCGCCCTTTACTGCAACTCAGCAGCAAAACAAACCTGAGGGACCACTCACTGAAACTCGCTGTACCGTGTAGCCGCCTGGAGTGCCGTAGCACTTTCTTTTCCACTCGTGTCTGTCACCGGTGGGATGCTCTCACAGTATCGGTCGTCTCTGCACCGACACTAACAGTATTTAAAAGACGGTTGGATGATGTAATCCACTTACACTTTGTCACTTAGCGCTAGGTTTCTATCCTACACCTGGAGTTTACCATGGCATATTTTGATGTTAACTGCGGGTGCTGTGAATCTAATCGGACTGCAGGACTACGGCGTAACAAACAATTAGTCCTTATTTTGTTGGACTAGTCTATACTAGTCCGAGTGTGTTCTCGCTCTGGTAGGGATGCCAGAAAACCAGAAGAACGGACACAACGGATTGTATTCGCGGAAGGCTACAATCTAGCGAAAAACGAATGAAGCGACGAGAGCGTACGTCAGTGCCGGAACTCACCGTGGAGACAAGTGGTGAGCCAGATGCAGTTAAGAATGGCCGTAGAGTCGGCATTAAACAAAAACCAATATTGTATGATTAAGTAATAAAAGTGTGCATAGGATAAGAAGTGTCTTTTGGGTTGCTACAATTTCCATATTTAAATACTAACTCTTCTACTATCAATATTAGCATAATTGTTATATCGATGACCCCACCAACCATCCAACAGGATTTGTAACGAAACACTTCTTAACCCGGATAAATTCATTGTTCGTTGTTACTTTGGCCATACTGTCCGTATAGTCCAGCTGATTGTACGGTGGATTCTTCAAACCGTAATTTTAATCCGAATTCGTCAATGTTATTATTCCTGTCACCTTTTAGAACAGAACAGCTCGTTAGATGTGATTCACAATTATTGGCCAGAGAAATTACTCGAATGGAAGAGGAAATGTTTTCTCAGATAAATGTGAGTATTGTCCACTCATATAATCTGCTAATGTAACCAAACTCAGAGAGTGGAAATTAAACGTCTATATTTCACCACTTGTGTCGTCTTTCCGGTGACATATTGCGTAGATTTAGAATTTCCTAGGGCACATGATAAGTTTGAACATAATGTCCATCAATTACTTGTTTGAGATTATCAATAAAGACGTATGTAAGACGAATTGGTGGTTGCGGACTCCGATGTGGGTATAGGCGTCTCCAGTTTTGCAAAGCATTGGAATAGGCCCTTGCTAAAAAAATTCGCCGTTTAAACAACATTTTTCCGGGAAGGTTTTGACTCAGCAAACGATGAGGCTGGGAAAATGATATCTGAGATGCTATGTAGGACTAATAAATACCAGTCCAAGGCGGCGCGAGTAATCAAGCGCGGAAATCAGAAGGCATTTGAAGTCGGACACAGCAGACAATTTTCGATGGGCTAAAAAGGAGGTGGACGGATGAAGCGAGACATGAACAAACGTCAGCGCGACAACTTACAGAGCAGCCGAGTGTTCAGCCGGATGTAGGGAAGCATAAAACAAGACAGAATAATGTACCATCGGCCAGCAATGAAACTGTACGTAAAAGATGGTAATTATCTTTTGGGCGCCACAAATCCATAAACATTTCGTCACAATTTTATGTAGCATGTTCAGCACCAATTCCAGTCTACACACCAAACGATGATAGTAGAACCTCGTTTAATAAACATCTAAACTCCTAGAAAAAGCATGCACTATATTCACAACGCTATGCGGTGATCCAATGATTACTTCTACAGAACCATTTCTAAGGAAGCTACGACCCAGTTGGTGGCTTTTGCTTACATTCACTCATCGGTGGTATCCGCTGGCATGCACTTAGTACATGGCAGTTGTAGAAACTAATATAATCAGGAACATCAATTTATATATCAACCAAACGACGTGGGTGTGCGCCAGTCCCGTGACAAAACCCGCCTACGATAGCCGTGAACAACCGCGAGGCTGTGACAACGAAGTTGTAGATCACTCACCCCCTACCTCACTGGCCAGGCAGGTGCAGCCGTCACTGCACATGATACTGCTTAGAGGTAAATGTGGAGAATCGAAATGCACCCCATTGAGCAGGACAGGACTGGCCCGCTGTAAGTGTGTCAATGCATTTCGCACTGATTATTATGGTGTACGTCAAGCATATTTAAAGAGGCTCAATAATGTGATCGATGCGCACTAGTTCTTTTGGATATACAAAATTATTTTAATTGTCAGCTGTAGAGTTTTGCTCATTAAGTGTGAAAAATCTATTGAAACAGTTGAGCAGATGGCGAGTCTCAGTGGTTCACCATTGGGATCAAAGAAAATCGCTCCTGTTCCCCAGCAACCCCCTCTACACCTCCGTATCTGGGACAAAGAGCAACGTCAGTCTTACATCACTTACTTACTCTGACACATCCTAACCCCAAAATCGAGCAGGTCGCATTCCACGTGACCGCTACCATTAAGTTTATGAAGTTGCAACTAATCTTTCAGTCAGAACACCGGCAGCTGAGAGCCGGAGGCAAGTTTGTGCGGATGAAATATTGGTATCGTATGCATCGGTCGCGTCGCACCGGCACATCTAGGTCCATCAATTTTTCTGAGCATAAGCGGTTAACCGCAAGTTACACCATCAAATCCAGTGGCGATTCCTAAACAGCCCAAATCTCCAGCAATAACTTCTGAACCGACATCAGCTAGACAAAAGCACGGTGCCTTAACTGCATTACGCCATAACTTTCCCGGGTCCAAAGCTGACACGATAAAGGTCCGATTTCTAGATGGTCGCAACCAGTGGAATTACATCTAGGACACTGTCAGTATTCAGCTTGAGCACACTATGCTGAGGCGCATAGCGCGCCACCCGGTCTCAGTGCGCTATGGTGAACCTGGAATTCTTTGAGTAACAGTGAACTCAATAAATGAGGCACAGATTGTTCTACTCGCAGTAGTTCGCCCTCGCAGCTCACCGAGCGGGGTCTGCATACTAACCAATCTTCCTTGGAGAGATCGCCAAAAGCAAACCGAAAACTAAGGCGAAATTTCCAAAAGCGATATCAAGAAAACCATTATGGTTCATGGTGTCCCCGAGCTCCCGGATTCTCTTGGTAGCGAAGCGCCGACACGCAACGGAGAGCAATGATGCTATATCCGTGAAGCACTCTGTCTGGACAGCGTCATCGCTGAATCGTTGATCGGAATTCTTTCATCACCTAGCCCCAATAGCTGCGGTCCAAGATTAATGAGCGTGACGCTACACACAAAAGCTATGAGACAAATCCTATTGGAGATTTGGTCGAAGTTTCGCGCCGGGTTACCAACGGAGATAGGGTTTAAAGCTGCAGCCGCAAGGCCACGAGTGGTCAGCAATTCGCTGGAACTTGTAACCGAAGTAAATTCTTTGTCTCCACAATCCCGCGAAGAAACCAATACAACCGCACCCATGGCACGCGACAAAACAAAGCGAAACACGTGAAAACCTCCTAGTCTGTAACAACCTGCGCGGTCATGCAGCCCGAATGAAATTCATAAACCGACGGCCAACCAAAAACCACAATGAGAGTCTGACCACCTAACGGTCGGCTCAAAACCATGCGTAAGTTTGACATCCAGCAACGCATTTCTAACATCCAAAACACATCCTATTTGCATACGCCCAAGGCTTTCTTACTAACTTAGTCGAACTTAGCATAACGACTATCAACCTCGGCAGCTCCTTATGCTTACGGAGAATTAGTTAAACCTTGAGATAACCGATTCTCAGGTCCATTTTCCCGGTATGTCGCTGCTTCGGAAGGACAGAATTGGAAGTGGTGGTGGCGTAATTTTATTACAATGCCGATTTCCGGCGTGAGCTCATTGGTAACCCAGAAATATGCACCCCTGATTAGCTTTGGTGCCGACTATGATTGAAGAATAAGGACACATGTCAAATAGCAATAATTTAACACCCACTAAACGGAACCACGTTTCTAAGGTTGCTTTGAACAAGTCATACAGTCATATTTTCCTCGAGAAAAATTTTAATGTGCAAGAGAAGGAGACGTCAGCAACCGATATTGTACATTTTATCACATGTTTACAAGAGCTAATTTCCGGCTGCCATTGAGCGAACGTGCGTGCTAATCGCCCACTTGTGTACTTGTGGTTTTCGCACTGTGGCTCATCGGCAATTTGTGGCACACATTTGCATCTGCACTTGTTTGTCATGCTTTTAGAAGCTATACATTGTGGTGTCATTTTCTCGAGTACACTCCAGTGCAGTCTACATTTACGCTGAATTCTGAATTTCGGGCAGTGTTTCGCCCATATCCAATCGCCAAAAGTTGCGTAATTTCAACCAACGGAGATATTGATTGGTCTCGCTCGATAGACCATTTTAACGGCTTTCGAACGAACTGTCACTCGTTTAAACCCATCATTGTTAGGAGCAACTAAAGGTCTCAAGTCAAATTCACCCGGCGCGATCCATAGGCCTAACCACGAAAATTCTCAATCACACCCTCATGTAATCTACTCCACGTTCACGCTGACACATTCAACTGGCACACCAGAAGAGACAGTCTGCATGCACACAACTGCAAGGGGAACACTATGACCTTGCCGTCAACCTCAGTAACAGTACAACATTTTGCCATAGAGGGTGAGTCCTTCAAATGGTTCGTAACATTTGCCCAGCAAGCGCGATGCCCGGTGTGCCACTGTCTAAAGACCTAAGTGGATCATGTTCCAAACTTGTTAAGGGGGCATTCAGTTCCTTAACTGTCGCAATATTTTCCATGCAAGGTGCCTCCGAGTTAAATGTAGTCAGGCTAAGTTATTAAGCAAACTAGGTTCTCTATGGTTCTGCGTAGAATGCACTTCAATCCCACTGGTAAAAAGCATGCTCCTATTATCCCAGAAGTATGAACAGCCACTAGCCAAGTTTGAGGAAATGGTGACCACCGAAGTAACCACGTTTTTGGTAAACATAGCGAACTGTGCCACGCAAGCCTCTCCGATAAATGCCGCTCCTATCCTGAGGAGAACAAATAGTAACACCGTAGGCAAAACGACACCAAGAGCCCAGAAAATCAATTGCTATTCCAATACCAAACGTGGCTCATCTTTGACTAATGCGGATCCAAGTTCAAGCGGAGTACCTACACGTAAGCCTACTTCCAATCTCCTGATGAAGTGCGTAGAAATAAAGCAAGCCGGTACTAGCGAAAGTTGGGTTACGGTTACTTCCAAGAAGAGCCGTCATTTAAAATTAACATCACCCCCAAGTGGATCAGAAACTGAGGAGCGTAGCGAAATTCTGCTGGTGTTGGCAACACCGGTTTCCTGCGGTACATCACCGAGTATTTCAATCACTAACCACGACATGTCGGAAGGTGTAAAGAAACAACTACCTACACTGAGCGTACTGTGCTCCAATGTCTCAGAAGCAAAGTCGACATCAATAAATGGCAGGCAGTTGGATGACCTCAAGCAGTGGGACATAATTAGTAACCAACACTTTGTATTGAAACCTATACACGTAATGCGTATTACACGACACCCCAACTCTAAAAATTTCGGAGAGCCAAGCCTTCTACGCGTTGAGCTGAACTCCATCACTTAAGTAGAATCAGTACTACTGTCGACAGATAGACGCAGAAATGAACACTGCTCCATCCGTATCTTTCCAGACGTCCCATGGGGCGAGCGTTATCGAGTTAACGACACCTTAGAGGACAACCGGAAGAAAAATTTAACCAAAACTATTCTTCTGCACGGGGTTCCTGAAATGGAAGCGTGTGATGAGTATGAAATAATAACCCATGATAAAGAACGATGGTGTTATATTCGTGAAACCTTCTGCCTCACCGAACTACAAAGGAAGTGGTCCGTGAGTGTTGTAGGTGGTCCTACAGTCAAAACATGTGGTAGCACGGCTGCTAAAAAGCTGGTACGTGTTTCGTTGCAGGCTACTATCTGA